CCTAAAATTGTAAAGGATTGTATGCTAAAATAGGAATGAGCCTCCTTAATGTTGGAGCCCAATCATTGTGACCTACCCATTCCTAGAGGCTATAAATATGCCTCTAAGGAATGGAGTAGGCTAAGCTTTCACAGACATTTTTATTCCCTTAGCCACATGCCTATTCTTGTGCTACGGAAGTTTGATGTTAAATGCTCTTCATCTTTATGTAAACTTTTGGGTATCAATGGAAAGCGTCATCTACACCTTTTAATCATTTTTTCATACATTCATTCTAGTGTAAAAAACAGGAACCCAACAAAAGGTCACTTTTTTGTCCATTCTCTATTTTTTAGTAATATTCATGACAAAACCCCTAAAATAAATGTATGAAATGTGTAAAAGTGAAATGATACGTAGTATATGCTAAACATGTATTTTTCATATCTAAATTCTTTATTTATATCCTAAAGATGAAGAGTCAAGACAAATACAAAGTATTTTTGTAAATATGACAAGTTGTTCAATTTGGTTTACAATTTTTCAATTTACAACCAAATCAAACCAAAGTGTTAGGTTTGACCAAATTATTACCAAAACGGTTTACTTAAGTGAACCCAAACCAAAGTATCAATTTCAATTCGGTTCGATTAAACCGAACCATTTTGCCCGGCCCTACTTTATATGAAACTAGTATTTTTACCCGTGCTATGCACAGGATAAAATAGTTTTGTTGTTTGGTTTTAGAGCCTGTTTCGTAATACCCAAATCGGATGTATTCACTGATTCTGCTGAAGTTTATGAAGCTTTGGCTTAAATGTTTGATTCTACTCATTTATGAAAAAAATATTTAAAATATATTTTATTAATAAAATCAAGAGAATATTATATCAAAAATTTGTAAAATGATCATCTACAGTAACTTCAGTCAATACAGCCAAAAAAGTAACTCTAACCTTACTTTTTCCTATTATTACACAACTCAGCCCTCGAAATCAAAAGTTACGTGTTTGGTGAAAAAATCGACTAATAAGCCTGATAAACTCAAAAATAGTGTTACCAAACGGGCTTTTATTAATGGAAATTCACTTATTTAATCGATTATAACATTGGTTTAAAATGCATATTCTAATTTATTGAGTATGTTTATCTAAACATGCTTCCAGTTTATATTTTCCAATGAAAAGAGCTTTGCTTTGAAAGAGAGCATATTTTTTTTAATTTCTATCAGTGTTATCTAATTGAAATTAATCTATTTTTACGTAAACAAAAAGAAAATGTTCAGTGTCTTTTTTTATCCATTTTAGAAATTTCAAATTAGTCTTTTGATCTCTTTCTTTCAAAAAATACTTTAGAATCTACCTTAATTGCGACATCTCAATTTTAATGAAGGTGATGACGGCGACAATAGGCTGCATATTGTGATTGACAACGATCAATTTACTTTCTATTAGATTGAGTTATTGGAGGTATATATGACCTTATTAATTAAAATAAATGTTGGGGGGGGGGGATGTTATTGAAGAGAAGTTGCTTAGACATTTAAGAGACAAGTTTTACCTTGAAAGTCAGGATGAATAAAACCTATTAAAAGTTTCTCACCACATCAAGAGGTAGCTATAATCAAAACATAAACATGTCAAATTATGCAAAGAAAAAAAAAACGCTCCATATTCAGAAACGAAAAATAATCTCAATTTTTATGACCAAATAATACTGTATTAAAGTTACATCAATGAGTAAAAAAATTATTTCGTACTTTTTATATACAGTCTAGATTATTTATTTGGCTCTTAAACACCACTTTTAGTGTCACGATATAATTGTTACATATGTAATTAATAAAACTTTACAAGAACTGAAACTCTTTGCCAAAATATATCAAGAATATATTAAGATATACACTAAAGTAAAAATAATTTTTACTTTCAAAAATGAGATCAAAAAAATGATTGCAATTGAAAATATCCTTGATTAAAATGAACATAAATTTGAGATAGTGTTAAAACAAATTTATATTTAGCAAATTTTAACACATGCAGTCTACTATAAAAACATGCAATCTTGATATTTTAATTTTCCCCACTTTCATTTTATGAAGTTTCACTTTTTTTCCATTTTAGGAATGATTTTGAAGTTATTAGATTTTTTTAAACAATTATATTCAAATGATTTGGGGGTGTTTAAAAGATTTTTTATTCTCTTGTATTCCACTTTCATTTCCGCTTAGTACTTGTAGTTATTATATTCAAAAAGTAATACGGAGTAGTTATTATATTAAGTGCTTTTGTGTAATAGAAAAAGTAAAAAGCACTTTGACACAAAAGACAAGAAACGTTTTTAAGTAGAAGTTGTCACTTGAAAACACTAATTTTAGGTTTTTTAAGCCAAAAGCCGAGAAACGCTTTTTTAGGCTATTGCAAACACTCCCTTAGTAATTTAATTTTGTATTTCTATCTCACTTCTACTTGTATAGTGATTGTATAATTCCTAGGGCTGAGCATGGATATGGGAATTCCCGTTCCGTACCGAAGAACCGTCCCGAACCGTTCCAAAACCGATAGAACCGCAAAAATGTAAAACCGTACCGTACCGAGCTTTTTTAATAATATGGTACGGTACCGGTTCTTAGTGAGAACCGTTCCGGAACCGTCCCGGAACCGTATTGTCCCGAACCGTCCCGTACCGTCCCGAATTGTCCTGAAAACTAGTGTTAGATTATAATAATATATTATACATAATATATTCCCGAGTATAAATGTTAGTGATCATATGTCCCGAAAACTAGTGTTATAATATAATAATACTACGTATATTATATATAACATATTACCAAGTATAAGTGTCAGGAATCGTATGTCCATATATTACAAATATGCAATCTTGCAAATTCTTTGGGCGTAATCCAATTATTAAGACTTGACAGCATTAAAGTTAGCTTTAAAAAAAAAAAAAAATATACTAAATGATATAAACAATGCTATGTAAATAGGGTTAATTATATTTCATGGGGTTAATTATTTGCGAACCAAATAACACCGAAGAACCGTACCGAACCATACCGAACCGTGCTAAAAATTGGTACGAAACGGGACAGGTTCCATATATGTGCGGGACGGTACCGATTCTTGATTTTTAAAAGAACCGTACTTTAGGATGAGACAAGTTTTTTGAAATAACCGTCCCGTACCGTTCCATGCTCACCCCTAATAATTCCATAGTAAGCTAATTAAATCAACTCCAAATTTTACTCATGAATACTTTCAAGAGATTTATTGAAGTATATGAAGTTCTAAATTTTAGAAAGGACTTCATTAAAACGTTTTAGTTGGACTAATTTTTTGTTTGATTTGTCCATTCCTATCGGTTCTTTTATGATCTGATTAGGTCATATTATCTCAACTTTTTTAACTCCTTTTTTCGAAACAAATTAACCTCATCCAACTAACATTTGAGATGTAACATTTTAAAATTCAACTCTAGACAACAGTCTCTAATTCATACAATAGCTCTTAATCCAGACATTAGTCTCCACCCACATTTCATAGTGCCAAAAATAACCCTAATCTATGAGCCCGTTTGGATATTGAACAAATTTTACATAAATAATGTATAGAACTTTGTTGAATTCTAATCAAACACTGATATATAATTTACAATTGGAATACGTGTACCTAAAGTTAATTTATAGCAACTTTTTACAATTGGAATACATATACCTAAAGTTAATTTATAGTAACTTTTTATTACTTTTACATATTTTGTCATGTGTTATAACTTTTTTCTTTGTACTCCAATTGTTACAAAAAAATATATCAAATTCATAATTTTTATTATCTTCATATGACACTATTATTGATTATTTAAAAATAAAAAAATAATTAAACACTTTAAAACATCTATTTTTTAAGTACTCTAACATTTATCCTTATACTTTGACTTTCACAAAAAATATATCAAATTCATAAGTTTTTATTATATTTTAATGACACCAATATTGAATATATATGTGTGTGTGTACACACATAAAATAAACACTTTAAAATAACATCTGTTTTTTAAAATTGCTATAACTTTTTTATTATCTGCGATTGTTACAAAAACATTTCAAAATTCCTAATTTTGTATTATTGTTGTGCAGTTTATGATTGTTTTTACCTTGCACACTATTAATCGGAGTGATAGGTGAGAGTAAAATTTCACAAATTCTGGCGCAAAAAAAAATAAAACAATAAATAAAAGTGATAAAATTTGTGCATTTTTATTCTGAGTTATCACTCCTGACTAATTGTGTTCACGGTAAAATATGATCCTAAATTGAAAAAATTAAAAGAATTAATTTTTTTAATTTTTATATATGCAACATTGATGCCATATGAAAGATAATAAAAAGTTTGAGTTTATATGTATATATATTTTAACAATCGGAGTACAAATAAAAAAAGATACAACACTTCAAAAAATGCACATTTCTTAAAGTGTTAAATTATTTTATTTTATTTTTATATATTCAATATTAGTGTCACATAAAAGATGATAAAACGTTATGAATTTTGATACTCGTATATTTTTTGTAACTATCAAAGTACAAATAAAAGAGTTATAACATTTTAAAATAAACCTAGGGTTTTAATTTTTGAACTACATAGCTTTAGAAAGTTTTTAAATATAGGAAAGAGAAACTCTAATTTAAAACAAACTTAAATACTAAATGTAAGTTATGTAGTGTAGCTTTAGGAAGTTTTTTAAAAATATTTTTAGAATATTATAATGAATGTTTGTTTAGAAGATGACACATGACAAAACTTTTCATAATTGTTTCTTTTGAAATGTACAAAGTATTATTTATAGATGACTATATGAGTAATTTTTAGTATTATTATGTTTAATTTTACATTACACTAATTTTGTCACATTTTTATCCATGAGTTTAATTTCAACTGTGTTTAAGGAAAAATCTATTATTTTTGTTTTATTTCAAGTAATGTTTTTATTTTCAAACTATTATTAAATAACTAATGATTGGAATAAAACCAGAAGGTACATTAGGCTTTAAAATAAAATAAAAAATCTAAGACATATTGAAACAAGCTATGGGTTTTCCATTTTTGGCATTTTTGCATCAAATAATGAGATCAAGAAACTATTTATGTAACACTAAAATAGATGTTTGACTGTCAAACCGAAAAGCCAAAAATGGTTGAGAATGTGTTTACCAAACACCTCCAAATTATACTCACTTTTTGTTAATACCAAGTGATTCTGATTTCACTGGACTAATCCTGAGCTCCAAAGAACATGTCCCAAACCCTTAAGAGAAGCATATTTGAGTCACTTGAACAATCCGCTAAGTTCCCAACGATCCATCTATACACCACCGGGCACCAAAAATCGCTCTTATCTGATTGGCTTCACATGTCCTCAGGTTCCTAACGTAGCTCTTGGGAGAACTGCCACCAACTGATCAAACACTATCAGGTTCTCGGCAAGAAGCTAACTCTCACACGGCTGTTTGAGGTGAGACAGACAGATACACATTGCCTAGTCGTGAAGACCGTGTCAATAAACAGAATAATATGGGAGCCTGAATAATAAGACAGCGGTTCCAGAATAATAAGGGAACTTCAAACCGCTAAGAGAAGTAAAAACTGAATCCGATCCAACCTGCCTCCATGTATGAACTATGAACTGATGAACGGAAAGAAATGTGATCACCAACATGTAATTGACAAGAGCATGTTTGCACAAAGGCGCGAGCCAAGCTCACTGCCCCGTACAACTAGACTAGGTTAATGATGAGCCTGCCTGGCTGCCTGTATAACTGGACTAGGTTTCCGGATGATGGGTCGTCAGGAATTTGGACTGAGTTCAGAGTCCTGTCACTCAACTATGGGTATTCTAAATGTGATAGTTATATCTGGGGTTTTACTATTAGCAACAACGGAAGGACGCATATAAAAACCACTACAAAGAAGACATTAATTAGTAGTATGCATGGGGAATATAAAGACCAGATAGACAGACAGCAGGTAAGTTAAAGCTAGTTTTGGGAAACTTCGAATTCAGCACCAATTGGAAGATGATCACTTGGATGGTAGTAATTGGGCAATCCACCTTGTACATCACAAGACTCTGGTTCTGGAAGCTCAAGGCAGCCTACCGGTTTAACATCCCCAGAAGGTGAAAATAATATATAATCAAGGGTTCCAGTAAACCCTGGGGTGCAGTTCGTGAAGTGTGGTTCCCCTTTAGTGTATGCATATACGCTACATAGAGGTCCCAGCAAAGAGGTGGTCATATCAGAAACAAGGTATTGATATACCTGAAACCAAGCGATTTGAAGCAGCATGTCAGGGGCGATTCAAAGCAATGCCCGTACTACAAGCACGTACGAACATATTGATTTTCCGACTGGGAGAAACCCCAAATAATAATAAACAAGTTGTTTAGCATTATACGATTACTTCAATAGTTCACATCTAAATTGCAATTAATGTGACAAACGACCCTCGGATGATAAAAGAAAGCATGACAATTCCTCTTCCATATTAAATAACTTTTTTGTACCAAATAAAATAGTCAGTTTTATAAAACAAATCTATATTTTCGTGTAATTTCCAAAAAAAAAGTCTTACAGACAAATTACAAATGATGAATTTAGCCAACCCCAAATTAAAGTAGGAATACCTGATTTACTATGAAAGAGTACCTTTAGGTCCTTTACCAAAAGTAAAAAATTTGTAGCTTGGTCAAATACACCTCTTTTTGGGACAAAGGCAGTATTAATTTTCTTAGCTCAAAAGTTATTAAACGCTACCTGATAGCAAAAAACGACTTTTTTAGATTCAGAAAGTCATGATTACTAACTTGATCCCCAGGGACTGAATTGAAGTCACCCGCAACTATTATAGAAGGTATGATGCCAAGTTGCTCTGACACTCTTGACTTGAATTGAGCCAAGCGAGATAACAAATATCCAGCTTGTGCAAGCTTGACATCCACCCATTCTGGATCCCTGGTAAGGTAATTAACCACAATTACAAAGATAATATGTGTCGATGCAAGTACATGTAAGAATATATAAAATTGTGTATAACTCACACCAAACGGATCCTCAAGAGGTGGGTGGGGTTCCTCACAATTATATACCAGATTCAAACTGAATAGACAACCTAGGTGGGATACTCAATACACCATGGGACCATACCGTGTTAAATTATATTTAACTCATCCTAAAAAGATCCTCAAGATCTGGGGTTAACCGAACACTTGTATAATAAATTTAAACTCAATAGCCAACGAATGTGAATCACAATTCATGTTTGAGTCACACAGAGATAATTGCAGAGACATTAAGAACTACATCATGTAAATTAAGGCAGAGGGTTACCAGTAAATGTGGGTGTTCGCGACAATAATGTGATGACAAGGACCATTGAGTTTGAAGGCAGCCATTATACCAACACAATCACGTTTAAGTCTCAGACGAGGATCATTAGGATCTCCACGATCTGTTTGATTGCTTTTCAGCTCTGAATCTCAACATATGTATACAACATATAAGCCAAGTAAAAAAAATAGACAACCATATGAGTAAATAATCTTGCTGAAAAACTGAATCTTGCACTGATCAATTGGCAAATTAATTGTAATCTTTTAGTGATAATCTTATGGTGATTTTCAGAGATAAAACTCAACTACATTGCAATCAAGCATAATTAAGTGGATTAAAAGGTCTGAATGCTTCAGTTATTACTTATTATTCCCAATATCAATCACAGTAAATCACAATTAGGGCCCAATTGGAAGTATTAATCAGATAATTCTGCTTATAAGCTGAATAATCAGAAAATTTAGCGTATCTAGCCATTTCATCCACACAACCCTTACCAAACGGGGCCTAGATCTGATAGTGGTCTAATTGGAATATGATGTATGGCAAACTATACAAACAAGGTGGGACACCAGTGGACAAGAAGAGGGCTTTAACCCCCCAATACTTTTCCATGTAGTAGTAGATGTATCGATATATTTTTTTTGTGTGGTGTCTATATAATTATATGTGTCTCTCTCTCCATATATACAACCACATATGTATATATATAATATATTCCCATGTGTGTGTATGTACATGTGTGTGTTCCACAAACAAGTTTATGTTTGTAAAAGGGCAGTCTCGTGCACATTGGGTGCCACCGCAAAGCGAAGGCCCGGGGAAGGGTCCCACTACAAGGGTGTATGATGATTAGGGGGCAAGGCTTGCCTTATCCTTTTGACAAGAGATCGCTCCCGAGACTTGAACCCGTGACCTCTCGATCACATAGCAACACCCTCATTGGTGCACAAACGCCGCAAAGTCAACAAAGTTATGTTTCTATTATACATGGTTCCTATGATGAGAACATAAAATTAATAATCAACAGTGGAAACCGTTGCCCAGAGCCAATACACTAAAATCCAATTTTCTTAATTGATAAGAAAGAATGGACCCTAATTAAGGGCTCAAATACCCATCTACTAATTCCAAACTATGAAACAGAAATATAGAAATCCTAAGTAACTCCAAATAGGAAACAAAATCATAGAAATCCTAAGGGCCTGTTTACTAACAGAGATATTTTCCTATTTTCTACTTCTGTTTTTCGTTCTCCAATTTTCTGTTTTTATTTTTCAGTTTTTCTATCTCCAATTTTATGTTTCTATTTTTTAGTTTTCCATTTTCAAATCTGAAAACATGTTCATCAATTTTTTCACTCAATTCTCCAATTCCACACCCTTGACCCCTACCCTTACAACGATCTTACCTCTACCCATACTCCCCCACAACCTTTCATACCCACCCATACCTACTCGTAGGGGTCGGGGTAGGGAAGTTATGGGTGGGGGTGGGTAAGGGGTATGGTCGGGGTGGGGTGGTAAGGTCTAGGGGTAGGGGGTTGGGTGGGGGTAGTGGATGGGTTAGGGTCGTGGTTAGGGGTAAGGGTGGGGTAGTGGGTAGGGTTTGGGGTAAGGTAGAGGTAGGGTATGGAGTTGGGATAGGATGGCGGTAGGGTGGGGCCGGGACCAGGGTGGGGCCGAGGTAGGGAAGGGGTAGGGGGTGGGGGTAGGATGGCGGTAAGGGTGGGGGTAGTGGGTAGGGTTGGGGTAGTGGGATAGGATGGCGGTAGGGTGGGCCCGGGATCTGGGTGGGGCCGAGGTAGGGGAAGGGTAGGGTGGGGGGTTAGATGGTGGTAGGATGGCGGAAGGGTGGGGGTAGGATGGCGGTACGAGGGTGGGGGTAGGATGGCGGTGGGGTGGGGCCGAGGTAGGGGCATGTGGTAAGTGGTAAGGGGTAATATACGGGTGGGGGTAGGGTGGGTCGGGGTGGGGTCGAGGTGGTAGGGGGTGGCGGTAGGGTAGGGTGGATCGGGGTGGGGCCGAGGTAGGGGAAGGGTAGGGTGGGGGATAAATGGTGATAGGATGGCGGAAGGGTGGGGGTAGGATGGCGGTGGGGTGGGGCCGAGGTAGGGGCATGTGGTAAGGGCTAAGGGGTGATATACGAGTGGCGGTAGGGTAGGGTGGGTCGAGGTGGGATAGGGTGGCGGTAGGGTAGGGTGGATCGGGGTGGGGGCCGAGGTAGGGGCATGTGGTAGGGGGTGGGGTAGGGTCATTATAGGGAAAAATGGGTATGTGGGGTGGGGTTGGGTGGGTAAGGTAGGATAGGGGTAAGGGGTAAGGTACGAGGATGGAGGTACCAGAATGGAATCGACATCGGAGCGGGACCGGACCTACCACTAGGTGTAAGTATGGAAATTCATTGCAGCGGCACTGTAGCATCTGCGTTTTCCAAATTTAGAAAACTAGTAAAAGTCACTTCTCCAAATCACTAAAGAAAAGAGAGACATGTCTCATTTTTTACGTTTTGGAAAACGATTTGGTAAACACGTTTTTCTTTTTTCCTTTCTCCAGTTTTCCAGGAATTTCTTTGGTAAACACGTTTCCTGTTTTCTAGTTTTCCAGTTTTCTGGAAAACTAGAAAATATCTTTGTTAGTAAACAGGCCCTAATTAACTCCAAATAGGAAACAAAATAATAGAAATCCTAATGGAATCAATTAAAGGGCCCGCAGCTAGCCCGCGAAGGTTGAAATCTGAAAACTGGCTCACAAAGCTCTCTTTAAACCTTGGATCTATTTTAAATTGACTGTTTGCTCTTTCTTTGTGCAGAACAGTGATAGGAATCCAACCTGCAGGAGAATAATCCGAGCCACAGATATGGTAGAAAACGAAGATGAACAGTGATAGGGAGGTCGTTTACTAACAAACAAGAGAGAGAAATATGTCTGCCAGATAACAAACAAGTCCCAGCCCAAAATAACCAAAACCAGCCTACCCGTTATTTCAATAGTTCAGTATTTATAGTACTCCCTCCTGCAATACAAAGCTATTTATTATTCCCCTTTTTCCTCCTTGAGTAGACTCGATCATAATAGTCAATGCTATTATTAATAATGGGCTGGCCTCCCGTGTCCCTATCATCACCTCCCCCTGAAACTACCACCTTGTCCCCAAGGTGGAAGTCAGGAAATTGCTTCTGAAACTGCTGCAGTTCCTCCCATGAATCTTCAAATTCTGGCATATTCTCCCAATGCACCAACACATCAGTTTTTCCTGCAGCATTGATCCTGCTATTCTTCACCTGTTCAGGCTTCACTTGCAGCTCCCATTCCTCTGTTAGGCACTTGGGTAGGGGTTGTATTGGAGTTGCAGTAGGAACCTCAAATTCAATAGGAAATCTGACGTATATTATTGAACGATCGATGAACAAGAAAGGAAAATACAGTTAGAGACACTTAAAGCAGTCTCCTCTCCCAAGCCCATTTCCAGTCCAAAGTCTGCCTCGCTTTTAGCATTATAGGGGTGTGATAATGCTATGAAGTGTGCAAATTTTGTCAGTCTGTCTACCACCACTAAAATGGTGTCCTTCCCTTGCGCTTTAGGCAACCCACCAATGAAATCCATGCTCAAGTCAGTCCAAATCATGCTCTCAGCAGGATTATTCCTTTGGCACACATCACATTGCTGCACATATTGCTTAATATCTGCTCTCATTCCCTCCCAATAAAAGAGAGTAGATATCCTCTTCATAGTCTTGAAGTTCCCAGCATGCCCCCTATTGCAGACTCATGAAATTCTTTGAGGATAGCACTAATCCTCACAGAATTCCTAGAAATCACCAATCTTCCCTTGAAATAAAGAAGCCCTTGCCTGATTTTAAAATTAGGAATGGATTCTGGTTCTGCCCATAGTTTTGTATTTCTCCTCCTCCAATAGTTCATTTTCTAGTCCTTCCCACTCTTGGCATGTAACCACAGACAAGGCATAGAAATGGCCCTTCCTAGATAAGGCATCTGCAGCCTTGTTTTCCACCCCGGGTTTGTATTTGATGACAAAGTTGAACCCCATTACTTTTGTCACCCATTTCTGTTGATCTTCTCCTAAAATCCTTTGTTCTGTCAAAAACCCGAGACTCTTTTGATCTGTATGCACTTCAAACCTTCTTCCTAGAAGGTAAGGCCTCCACTTCTGAATAGCTAGTACAATAGCCATAAGCTCTCTCTCATATACAGACTTATTTTGATTCCTGTTGGATAAGGATTTATTCATATATGTCACAGGTCTGCCCTCCTGCATAAGCACCGCTCCTACTCCTTTCCCAGACGCATCTGACTCTATCACAAAGGTCTGATTGAAATCAGGTATCTTCAACACAGGTAATTGAGTTATTCTCAGTTTCAGTTCATCAAAAGCTTTCTGAGCCTCAGAGTCCCACTTAAATCCATCTTTCTTGAGAAGATCATTCAGAGGAGAGGCTATTTTACTATAACCTTTGACAAATTTCTTGTAATAGCTTGTAAGTCCCAGAAATCCCCTCAGTCCTTTAGCATCCGTTGGGTATCTCCAATTCAGCATGTCTTCTATTTTACTTGGGTCGGCTGCAACTCCCTCTTTAGAAATAATATGTCCCAAGTAAGCCAACTGCTTCTGCCCAAAGGAGCACTTTTTCTCATTCACCACCAATTGATTTAATTGTAACAACTGTAACACCATCCGGACATGTTCCCAGTGTTCTTCCTCTGTTGTGTTGTATATCAGTATGTCGTCAAAGAAAACTAATACAAATTTTCTGAGGTATGGCTTCAGGACTTTGTTCATTAAGGCCTGAAAGGTGGAGGGTGCATTCGTGAGTCCGAAAGGCATGACCAGGTATTCGTAATGACCCTCATGAGTTCTTATGGCTGTCTTGTGGATGTCCTCTTCTTTCATTCGAATTTGATGATAGCCTGACTTCAGGTCCAGCTTGGGTCCAGCTTGGAGAAGATCTGGGCTTTGTTCAGCTCATCTAACAACTCATCTATAATGGGAATGGGAAATTTATTAGGTACTGTGATTCGATTTAGGGCCCTATAATCTCCGCAGAATCTCCAACCCCCATCTTTCTTCTTGACCATCAACATTGGGCTACTATATGGGCTGGTACTGGGCCTGATGATC